TTTCAAAATGGCAACATGAAACTTTATTTCCTACAAATAAAGAAGAAGAGGTTGAACTTTGCAGCATATATATACATATAGATAGCATTAAATACACAACAATAAAGTTATAATAAACAAACTTACACTGTCATTTTTTGTCAACTTTGTAAGTAACAATCCACTTTTTTCAAACGTCTTCTTTGAAAGTGAATCAAGCTGTTTTACAAGAACAAAATTTTGTTGAAGAAATTTTTACAAATTAAATTAACTCATTTATTTATCGTTATTTATTCTTTATGATAAAGTTAAAACAAATAAAATATTAATTAAAAAAAAAATTAAATTAAATTAATAGAACATATACAAATTATGAATTTAATAGAACTTTAAAATTTCAACAATAGTTACACTTTACAAATAGTCACAAAAATTCTTATATTTATTTAATATAATTCTTATATTTAAAGCCAAACAAACAAATCAGTTAGAGAACCTTTACACCATCAAAATAAAACTGCTTCATATCCACAACAAATTTAGAATTTAAATTAAAAAATCAAAATATTAATTAATGAATTATAAAGAATTAAAGAAAAAATATTTTATTCATTATACAACTGATAAAAAAAAAATATATTTAAATATTAATATATAAATTTAATAATAATACAAATAATAATTTAAAAAAAAGTTTAAAAAATGACAAAATGACAGAAATATAAAAACTGTATGGTGCTAATTTAAAACAATACAAAATAAACTATCAAACATTTATAATAAACCATTGGTTTATTTTTATTACCCAAATTCATTAAAAGTAATCTTAAAGTTCTTAATGAAGTTCTTATTCCACAAAAAATGATTTAAAAATAAACTGAAATGAGCTGAAGCAATGTTGTAGTGAATTTATTACTAAGTAATACCTCTTTTTGCAGCTCCTCTGCATTGGATGCATTAGCTGCATTGGCTGTTTCTAACAATGCATTGTGCTCTTCTAAAGCTTAATTAGAAAATAAAAAAACACAACTACTAGAAAGATACAAAAACAAATTACAAAACAAACAAAAAAAGGTGACGAGTAAAAAAAAACAAAAACTAAATAAATTCTTTTACACAAAATAAAATAAAATATTTATAATTGTTAAAGCCATAAAATATTATCGAGTACTTACAAAGGTTCCCATTGTACTGTAAAAGAAGTTCCTAAAAATTGTTAACAGTAACACAATAGACAAATTGTAATACAAAATTGTTGATATCATACTCAGGATTGTTTTTAAAACTTTGTTTTAAAAGATTATTGATTTTCACAAATTTAAACTTAAAACTTTTTGTAAATTGTTAAAAACATGTTATATATAATAAACTAAAATGAATTGTATATAAGTGATAATATAATTTTTATGACAAGCTAAAATATGAAATAAATAACAAGTTAAAATATAAAACACATGACAGGCTAAAATATGAAACACAAGAAAAGCTAAAATTAGGTGTTAGTACGCCAGTTATTAAAAATATAATAAAATTAAAAAATGCTAAAATTAATTCTGTAAAAGCTATTTACACAAATACTGACTCACTAATAAATAAATGTTATATGCTCATACAAGTTGTAGACAATTTAAAACAAATTATTTTTGTAACAAAAACTCTACCCAAAAATAAAAAATTTGTAAACGATGATCACAAGTTTGCTATCGTAAATTATTTATTATATACAAACCACAGCAACATATTATAGAGGTTTAGCAATATTTATACATAACACCCTAAAATTATCCTTATTAAACCTTGACTTATTTCCATCTGAATCACTCAATTGTGAAATTATAACAAAAACCTTTAAGTTGTTAGTAAGCATATACTACAGATCACCAAATAGTGATGACGGAAACAACAACTGCATAAATCAGCACTACAATAAAAAAGGTGCAACATTGAATCTAGATAAAGCTCAACTATTTAACAAATATTTTATTACAACTTTTTCAAGCAAAAAAAAAAGAACAGAAATACTACTGTTTGACCTAAGATATAAAAAATAAAATCTATTTTCAAGCTATATTGATCTAAGTCCAGAAAATATCTAAACATACCTCTAAATAATTTAAACACATCTCATAAGGCACTGACAAATTACATCTGATAGTACATATGAAAGTTAGCTATAAAATTTCAAAGCATATATCTAGCATTTTTAACAAAGTCCTTGAAAGCGGTTCAATACCTTGAATATGTAAAGATGCAACAATTTCACCAATAATTAAAAAAGGAGACAGATCAAAAGCTATTAATTTAAGACCTATTAGTCTAACTTGTATGTTGTATCATCAGTCTGACTTGTATCTTCTATCATCAGTCTAACTTGTATCTCAATAAAAATATTTGAAAGAATAATAATGGCAGAAAGAATGGCAGACCTAAGTTAAAACAGCTAATTAAGTCCACACCAACAAGGATTTTGCCCAGATCACTCCTGTTTAACTAACCTACTAAATATAATTGATTATTGGACAATATCACTTATAATAATATTCCCATTGACAATATTTGCTGCAATTTTAAAAAAACCTTTGACATAGTTCCATGAAACTTTCTTATCTCAAAACTTGAAGCTTATGGTATAAATGGACCATTACTTTGTTGGTTAAAAAACTTTCTGGAAAATAAACAAAGAGTTGTGTTAAATGGCACTTATTCAAATTGGGTTTCGATTGTAAGTGGAGTTCCCTAAGGCTCCATCCTTTCTGCATTACTTTTTATTATTTATGTCAATGATATCCCTCTAGTAAGTCAAAAGCAACATTTTTTGCTGATGATACCAAAATCTTTTGTTTTCTTGAAAATACTCAATATCTGCAAGAATTACAAAACAATATTGATACTCTTGTTATATGGTCTCAAAAATGGGAAATGAAATTTAACACTGATAAATGCTCTGTACTACACTTAGGACACAACAACAAATACATACACTATGTAAGATTCAGATCAAAACAAATGAAACAGCATTAAGCCTACAATTTGTGAATGGTATTTAGGTGTTTATTTATTAAGTCAACAAAGCAACAAAAATATTAGGTCAAATAAAAAGATCATTTTCATCTTGTTTAAATCTATACTCATTTAAAAAACTGTTCTCAGCTTTAATTTGCCACCATTTAGAATATTGTGGAGCAATATATGTACCTCCCAGCTAGTCAAAGGCAAACATCAAAAGGAAAACATATTAGAAAGATCTTCTAAATGAATTTGATGCTTAAATTATCTTCTGTTTGAGCAAAGACTATTAGCACTAAACATGACAAGTGTAAAATACAGACTAATTTGTGGAAATCTAATTAATGTCTTCAAATGGTGCAATAATCATGATAAAATTTATTTGAAATCAATAACCAATTTATTACCAGTTGTCAATATTCAAACTAAAAAAACATTCCTCCTGCTTAAGAATGCGTACAAAACTTTTTTCAATAAGAATAATTAATAAATGGAACTCTCTTCCTAACGATGTCATAAAAGAACTTTCACTAAAAAAATTTAAAATGCTTCTCAACAACCATCTCAAAAACAAATGGCATCTTTATAACTGATATGCATTTCTTTTTATATTAGTTTATATAAAAACAATTTTTTTTTTTTTTGTAAACCTTTAAATAATAAATTAAAAAAACAACAACTAAACTATATCAACAAAACTAAATGAATTCCTTGTATTTTTGTGAAAGTATCTTTAAATTTTTTTTATTCCTATTAAAAAAAAGAATTTTATTTCAAAAATGGTTTTTTAACATAAAGCAAACTTTAAAATACACTTTAAAATAAAAATACACTTATTGATATAATTAAGATTTTGAGTTTTATTTAAACAATATAACATCAAGTTTTAAAAAGTATTTTTAGGTTTATCTAGTATAGCAGTAAATCAAGTCATCAGCCGTGGCACAGTGGTAGCTTGCCTCAGAAACGTAAAATCTGTGGTTCAAACCTCACTTCTGGGCAAGTTTTGCGACATCGATTGGGAAGGAGGCGTGAACTTCCCATTAAATGCTCTTACGCAGTGCTCTATGATAAGACCGTAAGGACTTCTTGGGGCACCTTAATGAACTTAAAAAAAAAAATCAGGTACAATGCAAAACTAATTACATAAATGCAATAGTGATGTAGTGGTAGAGTGTTTGCTTCTTAAGTAAAAAGTTTGAAGTTCAATGCTAACCATGTCCCTGAGTTAAAGAGTTGAGGGGGAAGTGAACAACATTAAAAAAAAAATATTACTGTAACAAGATTAAAAAGATATATACTAACAATGTTTTATAAGTAAAAAAGTGTTAAAAAAAGTAATACTCACAGACTGTAAGTCCATCCCAGAATCTTTTGCCAATTCATAAGCTAATGCAAAATAATATAAATTTATTGGATATGCCTACTATTTTTTAAACATTTTAACTTTATTATAAATGAACATAAATATAAGATAAAAAAATCTTAACTTACGTGTCCTTTGATCCTCAGAATTATCTGGTATATAGTATATCTAAAATAAAGTGTATTTAATTACAAACAATTGTAGTACAATAAATAAAATCAAAAATTAAAAGATTTAAAACAGTCAATCAAAAAGTTAAAAAAGTTAAAACAGTCATTCAAACATTGTGAAAGAAATAAACTAACACACTTAAAGAAAACTATATATATAAAAAGTCATTATAAAAATTAAAATCATATGAAGCTAATGGTCAAAAATTAAAATCATATGAAGCTAATGGTCTCAAACAACACTTAAAAATTAATAGTATATAAAAATTAAAATTATATGAAGGTAATAGTCATATCTCAAACAACACTTAAAAATCAATAGTATATAAAACAAATCATACAATTAAACAATCAAAATTCAAATAGTATTTAAAAAATCACATTTAAATCAAATTTAAAAAATCACTTACATCTGCACCAGAAACGATCAATCTTAGAGTTTCAAGAACATTTTCTGTTTGAACAACTTTTCTTAAAGCCTTTAAAACGAATATACATCTTTATATAAATGCAATAAAAGACATGAAGAAAAAAAGTTTTTTACAAATTCACTCCCAACAAGGCTGCAAGCAACTACTAACTAAATTGGGAGTGAACAGAAAAAGTTAGTTAAAGAGTAAATAAACAGTTGATATAGTTCAAAAGTTTTGACCATATAAAATTTGTAACCCCCTCAAACTGAGGGGGCATTAAACTTTATATAGTCATAATTTTTGAATGCTAAGAGATAATACTATGAAACTTAAAATTGATTTTAAATTTTTATGATATAAAAAACAATATAAGTTGATGTAATGTTAAAAGGAACTATATTAAAAGTTTTATTTTTACATGGTTCACTTGTTTATTAACAGTGGATTTTTCCACTCTATGTACATGGTCTCTGAGCTTTATAATATAATTTTAGCTAATATAAATTTGTTGGAGGCCGAATCCAAAATTGAAAAACTAGCATGATTAAAACTATAAAAACCGCTTTTATTTAAATGAACAATTTTATAAATATGAGAATAAATTATATAAATTTTATAATATGAGAATAAATTATATGAGAGTTTTTATCACTCCTATAGTGTTTGATTATTTGTGTCTTTAATTGGAGAGTAGTTTTGCCAATATGCAGGATTTACAACCTGTGCATTCAAATTTATATACAACAAATGATTTAAAGTCCATAGGAAAGGAATTTTTTGCTGAATTGTTTTTGAAGTTTTCAATGAAGTGAAAGCCAATTTAATGATGATCGATTTACAATGCCTTTTAATGATGGCATTTGACTTTTGTTAGGTTAAATCAGATATTTTTCAAATATAAGATTTTCTGAACGCGATGAAATGTCAACAATGGTGTTGTTAATATAAGTGCTATGAATTTTTTCAATCAATCAAGATGGGTACAAGTAGCATTTGAGGACTAAAAAAGATCGTTAATATCATAACTAAGACTAAGATTAGCGTTGATTATTTTTAATCTCTATTGATTAAACATTTAACCAGACTTAGTATGAAAATGAAGTAAAACTAAAAAAGTTTGTGTAAAGTCCCAAGAAAGTTTTCTTATGAAAAACAGTGATAATTATGAAATTATTTGTTTTATTTAGAGCTAGGTCAAACAAAGATATTTTCGATTTAACTTCTTTTTTGATTGTAAAAATAATAGAACTATGTTTATTATTGATATAAACAAGAATAAATCAATTTTCTGATGAAAAAGCAGCATAAATGTTATCTATATAATGTTTATAAAAAGCTGGTTTTTCTCTGTTATATGATTTGAGCCATTTATCTTCAAATTTCCCATGAAAAGATTAAAACCTATCGTAACACATCAATTTGGTCATAAATTTGTCTTTTGAAGAGAAAAAATGAGATGCTGCAATATTGTTTTAAGTTTTTTTAAATCACTTTTACCAATTTTAAGATTGAATTTACTATTTATAATGCTATTGACAGCAATATCTATTGTTTCTTGTAGTGGAATATTGGTATATAAACTGAAGGTTAGCTTGATTTCTTGATCATAAGTAAAAGAATTTTTAGTGCAGAATTCTGAAGGTATTAATGGAGTTCTCTAAGAAATTTAGATAATTGATAATTATAGGTACCAAAGGATGATACAATAGATCTGAAACTTATATTATCATCAGAAGAAATCACCATATACAATTTTGGAAGGTCATAGATGTGGGCTGGACGAGAGCCTGAAGGATATATTTTATTGGAGTTGGATTCATCAAAGAAACCTTTTTTTTTTTAAGAAAGCTCTAATGAATAAAGATTCCGATATCTAATGAATAGCTCTTATGAATTTTAGAAAGCTCTAATGAATAAAGATTTTTTTTTTTGAATAAAGATTCCGATATCCGAATCGTTTAAAGGTAAATTATGATCATTTGTTAATTTTTTAAATTTCTTTTTGTGTATTTTCAAAAATTTTACTTTTTCTTTTTTGACTTTATTTTTCAAAGCTTTTATTAAAATAAACCAATCAACAAAAAAATTTTAAAATTTTAAAATTAGCTTTAAATCAAAAAAACCTCATTACAAAACTGTTGTTTCTCTTTGTTGCATTTTACTATTGCACTGTGGAGTAACTTTTTAAAGACATGAATATTCGAGCACTATAAAAGAGATAAAAACTGGCACATTTATAAACATGTTCATTCAAATGCAAGCTGTTTTAATAGTTTTAATCATACTAGTTTTTCAATTTTAGATTCAGCCTCCAACAAATTTATATTAAAACTCAAAGAAGTAGGAAAAAGTGGAAAGAGTAGGCAAAATCCACTGTTAATAAACAAGTAAAAAAATGACACTTTTAATATAGTTCCTTTTAACATTACCAGTTTCAGTGCTACCACATAGGTAATCAAAATCATGAAGTTTCAATTTTATTTAACCTAACTTTCAAATTTATCATGTAATATAATTCTTAAAATCTTACAAAATATCTTACAAAAAATAAAATTAAAATCTTCAATTTTGTCTTAAAATGCGCATTTTTTTCTAAAATCATGCAAAAATCTTTTTTTATGATCTTTTTTTTATGATTTAGCGCTGCTGCATAAATGAACAAAAATTTAAATGTCAATATAAAGAGTGCAATAAAATACACACAAAAAATACAATCTCTTATAATAATATTTTGACTTTTAAAAAACATTTTAAAAGGTTCTCAGGCAATTCAATATTATGGGTAGTGGAATCATTTTTTTTAACCAATATTTCACTCGCAATAGATTCGAAATTGTTATGTCTTCTAATTGGTTTCTTTTATCTGTCTTTATGAGCTTTAATTAGCTGAACTCTTTTTCAGCTGTAGCATTGCTTACAGGAAGAAAAAATAAAATGCTAAAGCAGACTTGCAATTTAGGAAATCTCAGAACATCAAAAACTTTCTTAATGACTTTGCTCTAAAAAATTTCTGACATTATTGCCCTTAGAACAGATTAGGTTTCCATACTAAATGCATCTGTTTCTAACAAACTTAGATCCCTCTACTCGCACTGCAGCTGGGCCAAAGTACACTGTGTTTTTAAATTTGGAAAACATTTTAAAAAAGCCGAAACTTGGTCAAAGCTGAGTTTTGACTAGTCTGAACATAGATGGGGTCAAGTATTTCACAAATGTCAAAAAAATGTTCTTCGAAAGAAAAAACTTTTCTTAATGACAACAATCATAAGTTCCAGACAATTTTCAAAATAATCTAAATGTCCAGGTTGAGAGGATACAGGAACAAACGCAAGCAGACCAGGTATAATTGGTTGAGTAGAGTAACCGTTTTCTTTATTAGACAAAGACGCTGTAAATACAAGCAACTTCATTTAAATGGCTTCCAAGACCACTCAACTCACTCAACTTTAAATTACCATTCAACTGAGGCGGAGAGACAATCTGGTTCATGGATGGATATTCTTTATTCAATGATCTCACTGTCGAGGACCGAAAGTCTTCATCAATAGTATAAAAAGTAATGTCCTGATGCTTTTTATACATTTTAATAATTAAAATTATTACTAATTATATAATAATGAAAATTATTTTCATCTTAAATGTAAAAAACTTTATCGTAAAGAATAAAATAGGAAAATTGATTTACCAACATATACATTTCTCAAAAGTAAATACTTTGACAAAGACGTTGATCAATTGTTGTGGCATTATTTTGGTTTTGGAGATATTCATTATCTGTGAAGTTGTTTTCCAAACTTTTAACAAGTCGATTGAAAGACTTGCAGAGCTCATGAAGTAATTGAATTTCTGATTGAAATATTGTGTTAAAGTGCATCAACATACTTAGAATGTACTTCATAAATTCTATATACGATTTAGTTAGTGGATCAGACAAAAGAAGAAAAATCAAATTATTTTTCGCTTTCCCATTTGTTTTACATTCCATTTGGAAACATAACATAAGAGCATTTGACTGCTCCGGTATTCTACGGACTGCATATAAGTAACTTAATCTTCCAGCTCCTTTGGGAGCATCAAGCAGGCCTTGGAAGAACTCAGGTGAATACTATGGCAGGAGCATTTTACAGTTAACAACTGAGAGACAACTGCTTACAAATGGATGGAGACAGAGTTTTGTATGCCAAACATAGTGTTGCAGGCGTTTGCAAAAAATCCAACAAGCATATCAAAGCTAATTCCATGATCTTCAAACAAAGTCAACATAGAATCCATCAGTAATTTTGCGGTTTTATCTTGAACCTCCACCAGGTCCAGTAGCTCGGCCGTAAGACAACCAAGACTGAAGTCAAAAAACTGGATCATGACACTTTCTTTTCTACTGATATGTCTGTTGTCTTGTCAATGACAATAGAAAAATAAGTATTTTTCAGCGTAGTTATGAGTTTTTGTGTCAGGTAGATTCCTAATCTATTGAGGAAAATAAATAGTTAATTAAATAATAATTAACTAGTAATCAGCAGACCTTGAAGACATTTTCATGGTTTGCCGATAACACCCTCACTAGGGGCATCAGTTTAAGAGCCAAGGATAAAGCTTACTTGTTCTCAGCAACTAAAATGGCCACTCAAGATTCTGACTTCATCACAGCCTTCTCATGGCTGCTTCCTTGATAGTTTGCCATCGATTTTTGTAACCGGCCATTTTATAGTAATTTCGCCATGTTACTTTTATAAATGGATGTATCGGCATGCCTCTCTAAGTCACCCTTGCAGTTTTTTAGGGACTAGCAACATACTTTACAATAGGCTTCATCCATTTTACTATTCTGGTTTGTCTTCATTGTTAGCCATATTTTCAATACCTCATCTTTCAGCCAGTTTTCTGAAAGACTTTGAAGGTTTACATTGTGGCTTTTTGGAACTGTTGTCTTTCTTGCTTCCATCATAACCTTTCCTTTTTTCATTTAGAAAATTATAAAAGAACTAGTGAAACTTACTAAAATAGACTTGGCAAGTTATTCATTATATTTCAAATTTATAAACCAAAAAGAGCCAAAAACTAATTTT